CCATTTAACATGAGTAGTGATCAAGGCTGATATATATGACTAAAAGAGAATCTGAATGATAAGCTGAACGACCCAAGCACGCAATGAAACCAGAAGATACGGAGGCACGCAAGATGAACGGTCAAAGCTGAATGAGATCCCAACAATGAGAACCCACGCCAGACCTGTCGAAGAATATGTAATATGGATGAATTTAAACTAATATGGAGAACGCAAACTAATTGACCCCCAGGTCTGCCAAGGGCAAGGCGCGCGGCGGATATTCGACCCAGACAAATGCTTCCTGCCGAATACCTTTGAGCTGGGTGGACACGCAGCAGCGGGGAGACACAGGCGCATCCGTCCTGGCTTCCAGGATCACGGGGCGGCGTCCAGACACTGCGAGCCTATAAAGTAGTCATGCTCATGCCCGTTGCACGCGGGCACTCCTGGGGCGTGGGCAGTAGCGGTCATCGAGTCAAGCCGCCCTGCGGCTAGCACCTCCTCAGGCTCCATGCCCCAATCTCCCCCGAGGAAGAAGGGGGACCTCTGCGCCCCGAGGTGGGCCTCAAGGAACTCCAGGATCTCGAGGTTCTCGCCCTTCGCCCCCAGGGAGTCGACGCAGTAAGTCGAGCCCGAGATAACCCAGGAGCGGGGTCCCAACGTCGCCAGGCGCAGCAAGACACGGTTCTGAAGCCTTTCCAGCATCGGATCCAGCATGGCAACGACGACGCCATAGGGGTGACCAGGCCCACCCCAGAGGATAGCGACCGCGCCGAGTCCCCCGTTCTGGCCGAAGTCCCCAAGGCAAGACGGCGAGAGCAGGTTCGAGTCCACAGATGCGCCGCTGGCTCGCTGGCCTTGGCCAGCTGGGAATCCTGGATGCACGGCGCGCCAGGCGCCCCAGGGACTCGTTCAATCCAAGGCATCGTAGATCTCGCCCTTGGCCACGCGTCGGCGTTGAGCGCGCCCGCCGAGAATGCAGCCAGGCCGTCGTCCGTGGCGGAAGGCAAACACTCGGCAAGTGAAGAGGTTCGCTTCTCCGAACCAGCCGTGCCCATCGATCTCTGGCGTCGCCCGCTGGAACGCGCGGCCGCCCCTGGCTCGGGGGCGAGGCTGAGGGGTGCTCAAAGAGCTGCCCCCCGCCTCGCCCAGACCAACGCGCCGCCCCTCCAGTCAACTGCGGACCCGCCCGCGTCGCCCCACCAGCGACGGCGCGCTCTCCCAGCCTCGCGCCGACGGCGGCCCGAGGGCCCGCGGCACTCGGAGGGCCCGCGGGCACCGCAGAAGACCCGCCAAACACGGCACCAGAATCGGCAGGGCCAGCCCCAGCAAAACTTGGCGACACCGCCCTGCCCCTCTCGCTGTTTACCTCACGGGTGCGCCTGGGGGCAAATCCTGCCAAAAAACCCAGTGACTGAGCCCAGCCCCTCGCGCGGTTTACCTCTCGGGTGCACTTGGAGGCGGGGACTTGCGCGCTACCATCGGCTGCTTCCTGCTCGATGACGGCTTTGGCGAGGGCCGCTCTGTGGCCGGCGCGCGTAGCTAAGCCGATCTTCCTCGCGGGTCGACACGCAGTCCCCTGCGCCGAACCCCGCAAAGGCCCTCGATGTCGCTGACGCCCCCAGCCCAGAGGAATGCACATCTCTGGCCACCCGGAGGAATACTTGCCCCGCGACCGCTGCTGCTCCAAGCTCCGAGACGGCAGGGGCCTTGGCGAGAGCCGCTTCGGGATCAGCGGTTCGCTAGAGGTTAGGCCGACCCCCCATCGCGGATCGACCCGCGGCCCCCGCTGTCCGCCCATGCACGAGCCCTCAAAGAAGACGATGCCCCCAGTCCAGAGGAATGCACATCTCTGGCCACCTGGGGGAGTACCATCCCCGCGCTGGCCCACGATGCCGATGATGCCCCCGATCCAAAAATGCACATCTCTTGCCACCTGGGGGAGTACCATCCGAGTTGCTCCTGCTGCTACATGCCCCGCGACGTCAGGGGCCTTGGCGAGAGCCGCCCTGGGATCAACAGTTCGCGCGAAGTGAAACCGATCTCCCTCACGGTTCGACCCGCAGCCCCCACCGCCCGTCTCCGTAGGCGGCACCTGGGTCGAGAGCTCCGAGGTCGGCGCCCCCGAGTCTCCAGCCCACCTCGCTGGGGCCCAGCATCGCGCGCGAAGGGCCCCAGCTTCCCCGCGTCCTCCACCACCGCGGTCGCGATCCTGCTGGGCCTGTCCCTCAAGTGCGTCTCCTCCGAAGGTGCCGCCGCCAAATCCATCGTGGCCCCCCGACTCTCCCTTGACCGCCACATGCTGCATCTCACGCGCCTGCTGCCAGATACAGGCGGCACGTGGGCGGGAGGTCGCAGGTGAGGGGCCCAGATAGGCGGCAGCTTCAACCTCGTGGGATTCGGCCCACAGTCCTTCTGCCCGCGCGCGTCGACTAGGATGCAAACTCTCTCTGACTCGCCGCGGAGCTGCGTGGGCGTGGGCGCGGCGGATCCCCTCGTCCGTTGCCAGCCACTCCCGCACGCTGGCCACCCGCTTGACGGGCGACTGACTTGCAGGCGCAGCGGCAGGCTGCGCGCCCGCCGCCGTGGCCCCACCAGCCCCTGCTTGGCTGCCGCCTGGGGCTGGGTCTCCTTCGCCGGTATTCCTCTTCTTGCACCCGGGGCGGGCCATGTGCTGTCGTTGCCCCTCCATTGCGGCCTGGGCTTTCTCCAAGGCGCCCTTGAAGATGCTGGTGATGGCCGCCTGGATCTCCTGAGCAGCCGCCTGCCTACGCTGCTCCAATTCCTCGCGACCCTTGGTCTCAAGGTCGTAGCAGTCCAACAAGCTGCCTGTGCCGAGGATGTCGTCCACCGTGAAGATTTGCCCAACTGAAGAGATCCCTGCACCAGCTCGCGACTACTGATGGTAGGTGGCGCCGCCGCCGCTGGGGCGGAGCCGACGTGGATCTCAGCCAGAGCCTGGTGCGCCCCCGCGTCGGACTCCTGCAGCTGGCGCTGCAGCTCCACGATGCTGCCGACCAGCTCCTCGACACCTTTTTACGCCACCTGTCCAGCCTGTCCAGTTCTGCACCGAGCTTCTTCTCGAAGGCTGCCCAGCGTTGCATCGCGCGCTGCCACCTCTGGCGAGCCGTCGGGGCCTGGGGGGGGCGCTGGTGCCCTCGCCGCCAGTGCCTTGTAGCGCCTGGCGCCCTCTGCGTCGCCAGCAGAGCGGCCAACTCCCTGCACTTGTCGAGGGACAGACGGGCCACTGGACCAGGCGGAAGGGCTGCCCCGTCGGACGTGTTCGGGTCGGTGCCCTTGCCACGTCCTCCTCCACGGCCTCCCCGCCCGAGTTTGTCACCTTTTCCTTCTCCCTTGGCGCCCTCTGTCTCCGGCGATCTCGGCCGTGCTGCGCCTGAGGGAGCTCCCGCGGTGCTTGCAGTACAACGCGCCTTTGGGATTCTTGCTGCAGCCACCGGCGGCGCGAACCGCCATTTGGGCTTTAGCACTCTGGGTATACCAAGTCCCGTCGTTGGCGGGAGAGGAGTTCCACGACGCTGGCCATGAGCAGCTGCCTCCCCACCTCCTGCGGCGCTCGGCCCAGGGAGCAGTGGCAGTCCTGCGAGCAGCGCCGCCAGCCGAGCCATCGCCCTGAGCCATACGCCGCTCCGACAGGAGCTCACCAAACAGTGCCGTCTCGTGCAACTGGCCCGCAACAGCAGTGTGCCGTTCTGAAGCTGGCTGTTGCAAGCTCAGGCCTCCTGCCCGAGCCAAAACGGCTATGAGGGAGGAGGGAAGGACGGATGGACGGATGGAGGGACGAGTGTTGAGGGGGGAGGGAAGGAGGGAAGGTGAGGGAGGGGGAGGACGATGGGGAGGTGACGGAGGAGAAGGAGGGAGGAGGAGGAGGAGGAGGAGGAGGTTGGTTGGTTGTGTTTCGCGCGGAAGTCTAGCGACCGCATGGACGCCATCGCGAGCCTGGATGACAACAAGCACTGGTGCCCTTTCCCCAACTTCACGGGCTATCCAGAATCAGTTCGTCAAGTCCGAGCCAATTCTTCAACTTAGGGCGAGCCTCGTAATTAAGGATTGGCCCCTCCTCTTGCCCAAGGGGGTCACCCAGGCCAGAGACGACCCATTAAAACGTCGATGCCACCCTTCTAGAGCTGTCGCCGAGCTCGAACTGTCGGTGCAAAGCTGGCCAACATGACCCACATTCTTGTAGAAGCGCGAAGCAGCATCCGCCCAAGAGGGCCCCAAGGTGCAGCAAATCGTCCAGGCTGGCCCAGCAAGACCCCAGCATGCCCCCAAGATGAAGGGGCCCTGGGACACACAAAGAAATACACACAAATAAAACGATTCCCCATATTTACACATATTTTCTGTGTTTTGGTCTTCCCCCCCACTTCCCATATTTTCCCATATTTTCTGGGGAATCGACGATTCATTGTGTCTGTGTGTCTATTTCCTTCCTGACAAGAGACTCGCAGAGGGGCCCCAGTGGCCCGAGAGGCCACGAAATTCTTAGAAAGAGGCCCCCAAACGGGTCCCAGGAGGCTCCGAACATGTCCCAGGATATGTTTGGACACCCGAAATGGGTACCGAAAGAATGGGCACAATGCCCAACAACAAATGCTGTCCCAAACCAACAGCGGCCGCTGTTGGGCAGGCGGCCTTCTGTCTCGAATGGACACAGGCCGCGGCGGCGTGGACAGCGAATCCTGTTCAAAATGAACAGGAACTGCTGTTGGGCATTGTACCCATTCTTTCCGTACCCATTTCGGGCGTCTAGGATACGGCAAGGTTGCATCGTGTCGACCCTGGCGCTGGTTCCTGACACCGCGGGGATCGCTCAATCCTGATCGATCAGCGGTTTCCGAAACGCCAGATCGTTCAACGTCGACCGATTCTGAGTCGCCGGCGGCGTTCAACGCTGAACGCCAGCGGCGGGGTCGCCGCCGGTCGACACGACGCGAACCTTATCGTAGCGGCAAGATGGCTCAGGCGTGGCGTGGGGGGGCGGGCGACGGAGGGCGCAGCCCTGCCTCGGCAATCGCGGTGTTGGCAGCAACGATGAGACGTGCGGCAGAAGGCTGCCAGGCTATGGCCTGTACAGATACGCATCGCACAAATTATGGAGCGTAAAATGTGGCACAGACCCCACAATCAGGGTCGCCGTTGTTCTAGCAGCGGTGTTATGCACGGTGTCCAGATTCCACCGCCCTCGCGCCCTAACAAATCATTGGCTACTCTGCTTCAGAGCCGACTGCCTTGGAAGACAATGCCCACCAGATCATCACAGGCGCAGAGTAGCGTCGAGATGCACGACCCGTCTGTGAACAGCCTTTAGAGGACATTCTAGCCAACAATGAGCACCCGAGCGCATCGCACAACTCACGAATACTATCTGCTGCCGTGGAACATAACGTTGCCCAAACATTTGTTCTACTAGTATCGCCTGCACCATCGTAGGTTTGGGTGAGGCCTTAGCAACATCCCAGGCGTGAGACAACCTGTCCCCAAGCAATTACGGCGCATCTAGACCGTTGTTTCCCAAGGGTCTGGCCAAAGAGGAGGTTACCCATCTAGCTACTTTGGACGTCCCCGCCCTCCCCCTCTCTGGCCCTTTCCCCTTCCGGTCGTCGAAAGCCCTTCCCTCTCCCCGTATGTACGTTCCTGGCCCCGAAGCCACCGTCTCCCCTTTTCTTTCCCGCCAGACGGAAGCTACCCCCTCTCCCCAATGTCCGTTCCAAATCCCCTCCCCCTCATGTCCTCTCTGCCGACCAGAAGCCCCCCCTCGAAAATCCCAGGCCCGCCCCCACCCCCTCCTTTCCTGCCTCCCCTTCGACCAAGTCGTCGCCATTGCTGTGCCGCGTCTCATTCCTCGCGAGCGGCCCCGTCTACACCAATAGCACCCTCGGCTTCGGTTTACCAGACACGGGTGAAGCACAGAATTCAGTGTGCTCTAGTCGGCCTCAGGAAGCGTCGAAGGACGCTGGAGAGAGAGAGAGGCCCACCAGGCGCGACGTGCGTCCGCGGCTCCCACACGCTCTTCAGTGACGGCGCCTGCTTGTATTTCCACAAGGGAGGCTACGCTCTCGCCTGCCCTAGCAACGGTGCCAACAGCCATGTCCAAAGTCAGTCAGGTCTGCGCAAGTGGTCACCCTCAACTCCATCCACTTCGGCCCGATGGTGGATTACCTCGCGAATTGTTCCGCCAAAGTAGTCTTGGCTCAGGAGTTGCATGTCACGGCCGACAGGCTGGGAGACAAGCAAGATCAGCTTCTCGACTCTGGGTTTCGAGGGCTTTAGAGCCCCACTGTTCCCCATGCGGAAGGAGGCCCTGGGACCCGTGGTGGAATGGCCGTGCTTTCGCAGTCCAACTGAACTGTCACGGCACCGCCAGACACTCCGTGCGAGGCGGGGATTTATCCATATCCACCGCCTGGGAACCCACGTCCTGGTGCCCCAGCGGCCGGTGTATATATATATATATATATATATATATATATATATATATATATATATAATATAATATTATATTCAATATATATATAATATAATATATATATATATATATTATATCGGCCCCCGGGGGCCCGAATGTGTCCATATCCACCGGCTGCCGACGCTCCGAAAACTGACCCTCCAGGCGGTGGTCATGTATAAATTCCCGCCTCGGATTCCGTCCCACGGAATCATCACGGGTCGCCTTGTGGCGGCCCACGCTCACGTTTCCGGCGGTGGCTCCCGTCGGCTGCCCGCGCCCTCCCCTTGTTCCCGCGGAGGGCCCTGCTGGAAGCTGCGGCCCCACAGGTGCAGACGGGCCGCTGAAGAAGGGACCCTTTTCGTTGGGAAGGGGCTCCGTGCTGCTTGTCTTAGGTTTTTTTTCTCCTGGGGTTCTCTAGGAAGAATCAGAGTTTAACTTGTGGAAAAAGAGGGGCCTCCTTCTTGACTTAGGGTTCCTTGTGGCAGCGTTTTGACAGTATTTCGACATGTGCTCAAGGTTCCCGAATCAACTTTCTGGAGGTCTCCCCAGGCACTCCTCGACCCAGGCGGGGCCCCGAAACAGGCTGCGTTCCCTATACACGTTTCCCATTTTGGCAAACTACAAGGTCCTTCTTATTTCAGCGGGCGTCTGGCAGATGGTGGCTCGGTAGCACAAAATGTTTGCCATGATTGCCGGAGTTCGTGGGACTGGAAGGGCCCTTAGTGGTAAGGCTTCGGGTTGCGCACAGAGGGCCCCCCCCCCAGGTAGTTTTGGCTGGCCTGAGCAGGCCCCCCCCCCGCCTAGTCTGGGTAGAACCTGGGGGGCCTGTTGGGGCCAGCTGGGATGACTCGGGGGGGTCTGTTGAGGCCAGCAGGGACTATCTGGAGGTGGGCTGTCTGTGCATAGCTAGCCCGAAGCATTGCCCTTTCCCCTTGGAGCCTGCAACCCAGGGAGGCGCTGCCAGCCTTGGGGAATCTGATGCCCGAGGGCGTTGAAAGGGAGTTCGCCGCTCGATGGGATGCCGTGTGATCCGCGTCTGAGGCCTACGTTGGCCGTGCTGGACCTCCTGAGGCACGCTGGCAGAAACTCGTGTGGACCCCGCCCAAGAATCGGGAGCGGCCAAGAGGGGGGTGTCCAAGAGGGGGGGGTGCAAATCATGACCGGCGGCATGTGCGCGGCCCAGCGGGGGGGCCTGGGACGTAATAAAATAAGAAGAGGCGCCATGAAATCTGAGGAAAAATCATGGCCCGCGCCATGAAATCCACCCCCCCCTAGTCATCACCCCCCTCTTTTCCGCTCCCGAAAGAAGAGGACCTATCGTGATCCCTGCGCCAGAGCTCGGGCTGCAGCACTCAGCTGGGCCAGACACACTGTCCACATGCGGCAGCTGCTTCTCACGGAGGTCGCGCTGCTGCAGGCAGCCGATGCGCAGCGCGAGCTCCCACCCACGCAGTACACCGAGTGTTCGCGAGCGCTTCCCGAGCTTTCGCGGTTCGTGGGGAAACCTGGTCCGGTGTAAACGAGACTCGTCCTGTCGAACGAGGGGGCTCGCTCTCTTTTCTGTGCCGTGGGTTCGCCCTTCTCGCGCGACCAGGGTTTGCAGACGAGGCCCTGAAGGCTTACTCCACTGCGATGAGCCAGAGAGGCCGAGCCCACCATGTCTACAGCTGAGCATGCAGCAACGCAGGTTTGGATGCAATGAGCCAGAGAGGCTTTCGCGCCAGGTGCCTCCAGAGCCCATCTGTTTCCGAAAATGAAGGCCGTCCAGGGAGTCATCCCAGCAAATGCCCCCGCTGCTCCGTCCGGGTTGTCTGGTGGTGAGCTCCGCCCTTGGATCGAGGTCTGGACTGCTCACGAAGCTACCCCACTTGCTTTGCCAAATGGTTCCGACAACTGGCCGAATCTCCCGCCCAGCCCGGCACATCAGGTGCAGGATATGGTGCACACGTACTCCTCTCGCACGGCTGCAGGTGCTCCCCGTATGCACCCCAGGGCGTTGTTGCACTTGCCCGACCAGGCGTGTCGAGCCAACGCCGAACGTTTAAACCTGCGCGAGTCTCATAGAGGGTTGCTTGAGGGGAGGGAGGTCAACGAGATGGCGCGGCTTGCCAAGCCTGAAGACGGCACGCGTCTCATTGCGCTAATCAGCCGGTTTTGCCAGATTTGGGGCAAGATCAGGAAGCCCCTGACGTTCGCCTGGCAGGATGCCCAAAATTGCTCTGGGGCTTCGGGTACGAGGCGTCGCCACGGTTCCTCGGACAATGCTTTCGCTCACTAGCTTGCCGCTGAGATGGCCGGGTTGGTCGGCGATGCGTCGCTCCCATCACTGGTCACGCTCTTGTGGACGGTGTGTTCCTTCTGTCTCGTGCGAGGCATCCCGAAGGACAAGCTGTCAAAATCTTCACGAGTGGTATTTTTCAGTTGGGACTTTGGACCCAAATCAAGAAGTCTGGGCTGATCGCTGGCTTCAGGGTTGGACGCGGATTTGCGACCACCGTTGCTGCGCGCCTTGCCCTGCCTGTTCGACGTTACATGAGGAATATAAGGCACGAGATGGCTAGTGGAAGAGTGTTACGGACGCATTACGGACGCAGGAGAAGAAGCGAGTGCAGGCGCTACGCAAACGTCGGCGTAAGTTTCTGGCTCCCAAAGGGCTGGTTAGACGGAGGGCTGCCGCCCTCTGGTGCAATGGAGCCTTCCCTGTCGCAGGGAACGGAGGTGCTGTGTCAAGTGTTTCGGACATTGCCATGCGTTGCTTCAGCCAGTTCGCTGCTACGCTGGTGGGCTCCAAATAGCACGGTGGCATCACAGCCTACATGGTTATCAACTCTGACAAATTGTATGATCCTGCGTATGATTGCACGTTTAGGATGGTCATCGGATACGCAACGTTTATTGGGGACGGACGCGTTGCTATGTGCAGGCCCAGAAGGCCCGAATGAGTCTACGTGGCAGCATGACGGAGAACCCCACCTGGCAGCAGGCTCGAGGGCCCACGTCAGCAGTATGGCTGTCGCTGTTGCGCAGTGGGTGGACGAAGGTCAGCGCTCATTCGCTGCACAGTGATATTGGGATTACGTTTTCGATGCTGACGGCATCGCAACATGGCATTTCGGCTTTCCCTGATCGAATTGACACAGGCGTGGCAGTACGCGCACAGTATTAGTGACCTCAGCACCAATGACGGTGTAAACGGCATATGGCATCGAGCGCTACGACACGGGGTCAAAGCAGTGAGCTGTCCCAAGCAGCTAGGGGCCCTCTCGGCACTTTTGGCCAACGTCGCGCCCCTGCCTTCGGCCCTAGCCAGGCTGAACTACGACGCGAGCACAGAATATTCAATGTACCCCGAGCCTGTAGGTACGTACGGCCACGTGTGGCACACCAGTCCTCATGTTATTTCCAAGCGAGGGCTAGGCCCAGTTGGGGTCGAGGTGTCCGTAAGGCTCGCCGATCACCGGGATGCCTCGATACCGTCTTGCCTGGATGTGTGTGGGGGGCTGCCCCAAATCGACTCCACCTACCTCACCTTCGACCTCCCCTCCCTCTCGGTCCCCTTGCGGGCCCCCGAGGAGGCTCCCGACGTGTTGGAACTCGGGGGCTGCGGCGGCATCTGGGGTCCTGATCCCTTCTCGACGGGAGCTGCTGTCAGAGCTCCATTCCTGAGGTTGCGCGTGCAGGATGGGCCGCCGTCCATCTGCAGGAGTCCCTTCGGCGGTGGACAAACCTCCCTTTAGTAAACCTCCCTTTAGTGAAAGCGGCCCCGCAAAAATGACGGCCGCGACGCCCTCTCGCCAACCGAAAAAGGCCAATTCGCTAATCGACGTGTCAGGGTAGGAGGTCTATCAACCTCCGATCCCTGCTTCCCTCTAGAGCCCTCTACGGCGCCCTTCCAGGCCCCAGGCGGACCGTCGGCAGAGCTGAGAAAGGTGGGCGGTCCACGAAGCGCTGGCTGCTTCTCCTGCGCACTTGTCTCTGCTTTCCAACTTGCAAGCTGTAGTTAGAGAGGGCAGCTCGTGCGACCCAGAGCTCGCGCTTGACACGGCCAAGCGCGCAGGAATCTGGCGCAGCATCTCTGTAACCCACGGCTGTGCCCCTCCCCGATGTCGATGGTGCCCCACCCGCCTCGGTCTCGACGAAGTGCTGGAGCGCTGCATGTGTGTGTGTGTGGTGTGTGTGTGTGTTGTGTGTGTTGTGTGTTGTGTGTGTTGTGTGTGTGTTGTGTATGTTGTGTGTGTTGTGTGTTGAGTGAGTGTTGTGTGTGTTGTGTGTGAGTGTGCGTGTGTGTGTGTGTGTGAGTGTGTGTGGGCGTGTGAGTGTAAGTGTGTGTGAGTGTGTGTGTGTGAGTGTGAGTGTGAGTGTGTGCGTGTGCGTGTGCGTGTGCGTGTGCGTGTGCGTGTGCGTGTGCGTGTGCGTGTGCGTGTGCGTGTGCGTGTGCGTGTGCGTGTGCGTGTGCGTGTGCGTGTGCGTGTGCGTGTGCGTGTGCGTGTGCGTGTGCGTGTGCGTGTGCGTGTGCGTGTGCGTGTGCGTGTGCGTGTGCGTGTGCGTGTGCGTGTGCGTGTGCGTGTGCGTGTGCGTGTGCGTGTGCGTGTGCGTGTGCGTGTGCGTGTGCGTGTGCGTGCGTGTGCGTGTGCGTGTGCGTGTGCGTGCGTGTGTGTGCGTGTGCGTGTGTGCGTGTGCGTGTGGCGTGTGGCGTGTGCGTGTGCGT